CGTTATTAATTTTTTTGAATTTTTTGCAACAAGTTATTTTTTTCATTTCACTTCACCAATTTTGACTATTTTGTGCATGTCCATTACAGGTTGTAATGCAACAAAATAGGAAATACTTTTGCAAGGCACTGTATAAGCCAGATAGGTCTTTATATCAGTCATCAGTCAAAAAGGGTGTCTTGCTCCTGAAATCTGCTCATGCATTCATCCCAGTCATCAGCAACAAAGCATTGGGGCAGGTGAATGTCTGACATCAATGTATGCGCAATTACAATGAAATGTAATATGGTGCATAAAAAAATATATACAGTTCCAGTCAAAAGTTTGGACACACCTACTCATTCAAGGGTTTTTCTTTATTTTTTACTATTTTCTACGTTGTAGAATAATAGTGAAGACATCAAAACTATGAAATAACACATATGGAATCATGTAGTAACCAAAAAAGTGTTAAACAAATCTAAATATATTTTATATTTTAGATTCTTCAAAGTAGCCACCCTTTGCCTTGATGACAGCTTTGCACACTCTTGCAGTATGTCAATATCAACAGACCTCATTTAGTGACCTGACAGTTACTGCCACCACTCTGTGTGCAGAGAGACAGTGTGTGTGTGTGTGTGTGTGTGTGTGTGTGTGTGTGTGTGTGTGGTGTGTGTGTGGGGTGTGTGGGGGTTGGGGGGGGTGTTTGTGTGTGTGTGTGTTTGGTGTGTTTTGGGGTTTTTGTTTTGGGGCTGTGCGCTGTGTGGGTGTGGGAAGGGGGCCCCTTTTTTTTTTGCCTGGGAAAGGGAAAATCGGGTTACCGGGTTTGGGGAATTTTCCCGGGTTTGGGAGGCCCGGAAAAAGAGGGGCAAATTTTTCAGAAAATTTCCTCCTCCCCTTCTTCTCCCCTCTCTATTCCCCCCCGCTCTCCCCCCCTCTCCCCCCTCTCTCTCCCCCTCCCCTTTTCTCTCTTTCTCTCTCTCTCTCTCCCTCTCCCCTCCTCCTCTATCCCTTACCCTATTCCCCCTTTCTCTCCCTCTCTCCTCTCCCCCTTCTCCCCCCACCCCCCCTTTCCCCCTGGGGGGGGCGGGGGGGGGTTCCCTCCCCCCCCAAAAAAAACCCCCCCCCCCCCCCTCCTAAACCCCTTTTTTTTGTTAATCTTTTCTTTTTTCTTTAAATAATTTTCTTTACATAGTTGAATGTGCTGACAACAAAATCACACAAAAATTATCAATGGAAATCAAATGTATTCAACCCATGGAGGTTCTGGATTTGGAGTCACCTCAAAATTAAGTGGAAAGGGAAAACCACACTACAGGCTGATCCAACTTTGATGTAAGTCCTTAAAACAAGTCAAAATGAGGGTCAGTAGTGTGTGTGGCCTCACGGCCTGTATGGACCTCCCTACAATGCCTGGCATGCTCCTGATGAGGGTGGCGGATGGTCTCCTGAGGGATCTCCTCCCAGACCTGGACTCTAAAGCATCCGCCAACTCCTGGACAGTCTGTGGTTTGCAAACGTGGCGTTGGTGGATGGAGCGGAGGACATGATGTCCCCAGATGTGCTCAATTGGATTCAGGTCTGGGGAACGGGTGGGCCAGTCCATAGCATCAATGCCTTCCTCTTGCAGGAACTGCTGACACACTCCAGCCACATGAGGTCTAGCATTGTCTTGCATTAGGAGGAACCCAGGGCCAACCGCACCAGCATATGGTCTCACAAGGGGCCTGAGGATCTCATCTCGGTACCTAATGGCAGTCAGGCTACCTCTGGCGAGCACATGGAGGGCTGTGCGGCCCCCCAAAGAAATGCCACCCCACACCATGACTGACCCACCGCCAAACCGGTCATGCTCGAGGATGTTGCAGGCAGCAGAACGTTCTCCACGGCGTCTCCAGACTCTGTCACGTCTGTCACATGTGCTCAGTGTGAACCTGCTTTCATCTGTGAAGAGCACAGGGCGCCAGTGGCGAATTTGCCAATCTTGGTGTTCTCTGGCAAATGCCAAACGTCCTGCACGGTGTTGGGCTGTAAGCACAACCCCCACCTGTGGACGTCGGGCCCTTATACCACCCTCATGGAGTCTGTTTCTGACCATTTGAGCAGACACATGCACATTTGTGGCCTGCTGGAGGTCATTTTGCAGGGCTCTGGCAGTGCTCCTCCTGCTCCTCCTTGCACAAAGGCAGAGGTAACAGTCCTGCTGCTGGGTTGTTGCCCTCCTACGGCCTCCTCCACGTCTCCTGATGTACTGGCCTGTCTCCTGGTAGCGCCTCCATGCTCTGGACACTACGCTGACAGACACAGCAAACCTTCTTGCCACAGCTCGCATTGATGTGCCATCCTGGATGAGCTGCACTACCTGAGCCACTTGTGTGGGTTGTAGACTCCGTCTCATGCTACCACTAGAGTGAAAGCACCGCCAGCATTCAAAAGTGACCAAAACATCAGTCAGGAAGCATAGGAACTGAGAAGTGGTCTGTGGTCACCACCTGCAAAACCAGTCCTTTATTGGGGGTGTCTTGCTAATTGCCTATAATTTCCACCTGTTGTCTATTCCATTTGCACAACAGCATGTGAAATGTATTGTCAATCAGTGTTGCTTCCTAAGTGGACAGTTTGATTTCACAGAAGTGTGATTGACTTGGAGTTACATTGTGTTGTTTAAGTGTTCCCTTTATTTTTTTGAGCAGTGTATGTGTTGTCAGGGCGATAGAGTCATCTCATCTCCATGTCACCCAGGCATACAAAGAAACACTCCTTGGATCACTCAGTAGAGCTGACAGCAGCCAGCCAATCACTTTAACCTTTTATCCTATTGTCACAACACATTGAAATGCCATCTCATATACCGTACGGATCATAATCTATTCACATATCACCAGCTCTCAAAGTCTCACAAATGTGCCAAGGAACCGCATCAGGTGTGCCTAATTCATTATGTGAAAACCCCTTTCTACTCATAGTTCCTCTGTAACAGGAATATTATTGGAGAGAAAATGTGAGTTTCCCAAGTAAAGACAAGAGTGTGAAAAAATATGTTGATGGGTCCTACACCGGCTAATTAGAGCAGGGCTTCATGAGTTGAAGGGCAATTTCAATTTAGCAGATGAAGATGAGAGGATGAGGGGTTGACACGGGTGAGACTTCCAAGATCTTAATTACTGCACTGTTTCTCTGTCGTGCTGCCTCAGGGGGATGTGGGGGTGGGGAGGGGTGAGGAGAGGGAGGTAGTGGATCTCTTTGGCAAGCCCAGTATTCTTAGCTGGGGCCAAGTTCAGTTGGCTCCGCCCAAAAGCTCTTCCCAGGTCAACTAATTTCCCTTTCAGTAACCCAGACACTCGCATAATGCATTTTGCTCAGGAGGAACCCACTAAGCCCCAGGGATGGACACACACAGGTACACACACACATACAAACACACACACGCACGCATGCATGCACACACACACAGTCACACACACACAGGCATACACACAAGCACACACTCTCTATCTTTCTCTCTCCCTCTCTCTTTTATTCCCTACACTACACTGCTCATTGAAAATAATCATTTTTGATAACCATTGAGGAATTCTATCAAATAGGGTAAAAGCTGCCTCAGCAACCTCATTGCCAATTACTCTATTTGACCTGAGTTCTACATCAGTAGAATCACTTGAAAGTTGTGGAGTTTTAATACATTTAAATGTGGACTTGGAATAGTACTTTTTGTGTTCATTTGCGCTTGGGTGTGTGTGTGAGTCTACTATTCCTGGTCACGGCTGGATGGGGGGGGGGGGAGGGGGGTGCACAAGAAACCAGGGTTATGAGTTAACAGGCTATCTAGGTCTTATAAAGGTCATCTATAGAGGTCATCTATAGAGATCATCTATAGAAGTGAAGACTTATTCCTCAAGGAAAAAGTCTAAGTGTAGCTACTGCTTGTATTCCCTCTAGACAGCTGGGCTAATCACAGCACACTCATAACATTATCAGCATTACAACAACACAGCAATAACCAGAGGTGTGGACTCGAGTCATGTGACTTGGACTCGAGTCAGACTCGAGTCATGAATTTGATGACTTCAGACTCGACTCGACAAAATGTACAAAGACTTGCAACTCGACTTGGACTTTAACATCAATGACTCGTGACTTGACTTGGACTTGCGCCTTATGACTCGAGAAGACTTGCTACGAGGACTTGTAATGACTTGAAAGACTTGCTAAGAGGACTTGAATGACTCGAACTAAAATGTAGGACTTTGGACTCGACTTGAGACTTGATGGCTTGACTTTGACTCGACTTGGGACTTGCCTCTCTTGACTCGACTTGACTCGGACTCGAGGGCAAGACTTGAGACTTACTTGTGATTGCATACAATGATTTGTCCAACATCTGGCAATAACACACACACATGACTTATACAGTACTGAAGAGAGAATGATGCACTGCTTCAGATGTACAATGAAACACACTGCTTTTAGAGAGTGAATATTGTTGTGTCAAACACAACTGGCATACAGCAAGTAATGGAAATCTAGTCACTTAGATTTTCAATTGATATGCCTGTCGTATCGAGGTCTGTCTCTAGACACTTCTACACTTGGCATAATTAATTAAGTCTTTATGCCTGACACATTGAGGGAGGGAGAGTTTGTAACCATACTAAGGGACTAATTAAAGCAGTATGCTGTTGTAAAAGGGGTTATGATAATGTGTTTCAGTGGTTATTACTGGGAGTTGTGAATGTAATCAACCTGTTACTGTAGCAGAACTGCATGACTAACCCTATGATGTTACTTAGCCTGTACTGTTTTCTGGAATTAGACAAAAGGAAACATTCTATCAGAGCAGTTAAGAAACATATCTGACACCAAATGTATTTTGGAAACCTTGGATATTCATACACTACCTTTGATTGCATTGGACCGTCTCTTTCCCCCTTCCTGTCTAACTTTATTCTCTTAACCCTCTCCTCCATTTTCTCTCTCTCTTTTCCCCTTATCCTCCTCCCTCTCTCCATATCCTGCAGTGGGATGCTATAAATGAGATGGATGAGTATTTCAGTCCCATCCACACGTACCAGGTGTGTAACGTGATGAGTCCCAGTCAGAACAATTGGTTGAGGACAGGCTGGATCCCTCGTGACGGAGCCAGGAGGATCTACATCGAGGTCAAGTTCACCCTCCGGGACTGTAACAGCATGCCTGGAGTCCTGGGAACCTGCAAGGTATAAGGGATCGGAGAGAGTGGTTGGGAAGGTGGGGTGAGGGAGGACGGGAGGGAGAAAGAGAGATAAAGCTAAGTACGTGTTTTGCTTCAAAGATCAACACAGACTATTGATAACTCTGTCTCTGATCATTTCTTTGTGTGTTATGATGAGCAGGAGACATTTAACCTGTACTACTATGACTCGGACCGAGCTGTAGGCACAGCCATCAGAGAGACCCAGTTCACCAAGATCGATACCATTGCTGCTGATGAGAGCTTCACTGGAGTGGACCTAGGAGTCAGGAGACTCAAACTCAACACAGAGGTATGCTAACTTATTTGAAAATGCCTTGCATGTTTTGAGTGAGCAGTGTTCCAGCGCTGTGCTTGTCCTGCACGAAGGTGTCCATGGTGCTGAAAAGGGTTCCTTTCACAGTGCCACACTTGACTTTGCTCCAATTCCACATTTACTGAAACATTTTGAGATGGATCTTTGTGATGTAATGTCCTTTGTCTCCTCCCAGGTGCGAGGTGTGGGCCCCCTCACTAGACGAGGCTTCTACCTGGCCTTCCAGGACATTGGGGCGTGCATCGCCCTGACCTCAGTCAGGGTGTACTACAAGCGCTGCTCGGGCGTGGGCCGCAACCTGGCGGTGTTCACTGACGTGGTGACGGGCGCTGACTCCTCCTCCCTGGTTGAGGTCAGGGGTCAGTGTGTGGACCACGCCGAAGAGAGAGACACGCCCAAGATGTACTGCAGCGCTGAGGGGGAGTGGCTGGTGCCCATCGGGAGGTGTGTATGCAGTGCGGGGTTCGAGGAGCACAGGGAGTCCTGCGTCGGTGAGTCACTCTCTGAATTAAGGATGTGGTTGCCTCTCTTGTTTTACATTATGTTACTGTCCTGCAGTTCTTTATCTTACTTTACTTTACCTTTGCCCAATCTGTGTGTTTATGGTCAATGTTCAGCCTTGGACATTTTCTGTGTGTTTTGTGTGGTTAAAGTTCATTCAACCCCATAATAACTAGTCCAGCTATGGTTAGGTTTAATAGCTCATAGTCCTGAATCATTTTTCAACTTTTAAGATGATAAGCTGTGGTGAGTCACGAAAGATACCTCAAGTATTTTAATATAATTTTTATTTTGTTTATTTTCTCTGATGGACTGACTTAATTTAGGGACCTGTGCATATTTAAGGTTGCCAGGGTTACGGTAATTCAAAACTATTAATCACAGGCGCTGGATAATTAAAAGCTAAAAGCGTTCCGTCAGCTAAATGAGCCAAACGAGGTGAACGAGGCACGGAACACTGGTTCACCTGTCTCGTTTCACACACACATACACCACCGTTCAAAGGTTTGGGGTCACTTAGAAATGTCCTTGTTTTCGAAAAGAAAAGCAATTTTTTTGTCCATTAAATAACATCAAATTGATCAAAAATACAGTGTAGACATTGTTAATGTTGTAAATGGCTATTGTAGCTGGAAACAGCTGATTTTTAATGGAATATCTACATAGGCGTACAGAGGCCCATTATCAGCAACCATCAGTCCTGTGTTCCAATGGCTTGGTATTCTAATCCACGTTTATCATTTTAAAAGGCTAATTGATCATTAGAAAACCCTTTTGCAATTATGTTAGCACAGCTGAAAACTGTTGTGCTGATTAAAGAAGCAATAAAACTGGCCTTCTTGAGACTAGTTGAGTATCTGGAGCATCAGCAATTGTGGGTTCGATTACAGGCTCAAACTGGCCAGAAACAAATAACTTTCTTCTGAAACTCATCAGTCTATTCTTGTTCTGAGAAATGAAGGCTATTCCATGCGAGAAATTGCCAAGAAACTGAAGATCTCACACAACGATGTGTACTACTCCCTTCACAGAACAGCGCAAACTGGCTTTAACCAGAATAGAAAGAGGAGTGGGAGGCCCCGGTGCACAACTGAGCAAGAGGACAAATACATTAGAGTGTCTAGTTTGAGAAACAGGTGCCTCACAGGTCCTCAACTGACAGCTTCATTAAATAGTACCCGCAAAACACCAGTCTCAACGTCAACAGTGAAGAGGCGACTTCGGGATGCTGACCTTCTAGGCAGAGTTGCAAAGAAAAAGCCATATCTCAGACTGACCAATAAAAATAAAAGATTAAGATGGGAAGTCTGAGATACGGCTTTTTCTTTGCAAGTCTGCCTAGAAGGTCTGCATCCCAGAGTCGCCTCTTCACTGTTGACGTTGAGACTGGTGTTTTGCGGGTCTCAACTAGTCTCAATAAGGCTAGTTTTATTGCTTCTTTAATCAGCACAACAGTTTTCAGCTGTGCTTACATAATTGCAAAAGGGTTTTCTAATGATCAATTAGCCTTTTAAAATGATCAACTTGGATTAGCAAGCACAGCGTGCCATTGGAACACAGGACTGATGGTTGCTGATAATGGGCCTCTGTACGCCTATGTAGATATTCCATTAGAAATCAGCCGTTTCCAGCTACAATAGCCATTTACAACATTAACAATGTCTACACTGTATTTCTGATCAATTTGATGTTATTTTAATGGACAAAAAAATTGCTTTTCTTTCGAAAACAAGGACATTTCTAAGTGACCCCAAACCTTTGAACGGTAGTATACACACACACACACACACACACGCACACGTCACCGCTCATCTACGTACCTGTTTATCTGTTTACTGCCTGAAGGAAACACACTCTCCTGGGAGCAAGGCATTGACGGCTCCTGGCAAACACACACACGGAGAGATGAAGGTAAATTATGTGTATATGTTTGTGTGTGTTGCGGCGGGGGGAGATACTCACACTTTCCATTAGCACTCAGATCAATATGTATGCAAACACACACAAGCTATGTGGGAGAAAAGAAGTCGACAAGATAGTTTTTTAGTTTTGTTATGTTTTAGATGCTTATCTCAGGAATCTCTCCATTTGTCTATAGTCAAGACATAAACATACAGTATAGCACTATCATCCTAGTGCTTTGTAGTAGCAGTAGTATCTGTAGTAGAGAGCTGACGTGTGCGTGTGTGTGTGTAGAGGACTCGTCTCTCTGTGACCAAACTGGGTCACTGTGCTAATTCACCTCTCTCCAGTCACGCACATCCCAGGACATGAGACGAAACGAGTCGTTGCCACGCAAATAGCCCTGAGCACGAGAGCAAGAAACCGAGAGAGAGAAAGAGAGAGAGAGATGGGTTAAGTGGTTAAGCAGTATGTATGCAAGAGAAAATGATTGACTGTGTGTGTGTGTGGTTAAAAAAAAAAGTGGTTCTTCCCTAACAAAGGCTCACTAGAGCTCTGGGTTTCACTGTAAGCATGAGATCATCTATCTGAAGGATTGCATGATGTCGCATTAAAAGTGTCACAGAAAGGAAAGAGGGGAAATAGAAAAGGGTGAAGAGAAAGATAGAGGGAGAAGAAAGAGGAGAATGGGAGAGGAGAGAAGAGACAGATCCCTCTCTTTGATATAGGAGACTGGTCGACAGCTCTCTTGTCACGCTTAAAGTGACATTCAAAATAGAGCAGTCACTACAGTGTGTGTGTGTGTATGGTGTGTGTTGTTTGTGTTGTGTGTGTGTGTGGTGTGTGGTGTGTGTGTGTGGTGTGTGTGTGTGTGTGTGTGTGTGTGTTGTGTGTGTGTGTGTGTGTGTGTGTGTGTAAGCCCACCCCAGGGCTTTTGACTGCCAGAGGAGAATGGAGTTAAAATGGCCCATACAGAGAGATAGAGATACGGCGAAAGCGACCGAGACAATAAAGGGGCCACACAAGCCGTCACAAAAAGTCAACCAAATCGGGACCTTGTACATAGAAAGGGGTGGGGGGGACACAAAAAAAAAGGGAACAGTATAAAATAATAAAATGAGGAGAGAGAGAGGAGGAAGAAGAGAAAAGAGGGGGAGAAGGGAGAGAGGAAGAGAGGGAACGGGAGAGGGGATTGAGGGGAGAGAGAGGGAGAGAGAGAGAGAGGGGAGAGAGAGCGAGAGGAGAGGAGAGGAGAGAGAGGAGAGAGGAGAGAGAGGAGAGAGAGATGAGAGGAGGAGAGAGAGAGAGAGAGAGAGATCATTTATCCTCCAAACCACCCATCTCAGTGGTTTAGCTCACTGCAATAGTAAACACAATGTCAGAGTGTTTGTGTTTAACGCCGAAAGGTAAGGGCTAAGGTTTGGGATAGGCTTAAAACAAAATCTCAAAAACTACTTTCTATCCAGCGGCAGAGGCCAGAGGCAAATGCTTACGCCCATCCACCATCCCCGTCCACAACGCCCTAGCAAAACCGAAACCTACTTGGCGGGTGACAGCGCTCACTGTTGCTCCTAGTGGCCGGTTTCCACGTCATCTCCCGACGTCCTCAGACATGGACGGACGTCTAATACTGACTTATATCACGGGTGACCTGGCTGCAGAAAACGGTGGAATGGTGGAAAATGGTGGAAAAATAAATGTCTGCAACAATGGTATGATAATTTCAAAGACAAACAAACACATTTTCATATATTTTAAGTGAGTATAATTGGTGAGGTCTAAATACCGTTCCTGCTTTAAATGACGTTCAGCTTATAAAGGCTTTATAAAGCCTTCATTATGCCTTCATAGGCACTACATAAATGTGTTTCAAAGCATCTATAACAGTATGTCATGCTTTATAAAGGGTTCATAAATGTGGCATAACTGTGTGACATAATGTCAAATGTGACATAACCCACTATGTTGAATATGATATAAACATGTGCTTTATAAAGAATGACATGTTGTGCTGAAGGATGGCATACGCTCTAAAGTGATGTCATGTTAGTCACATTACACCTAATCTCAGACACTTCAGCCCAAATGCGTGGAATGTCTGGTGGACCAATGCATCAAACTTGGCCTTCATTAGTTAAGTTTAAAATCTAATTTTAAGAAGATAAATTATGGAAATGGACAGGGCTAAGCAATAACAATGAATTTTTGACTGTGTTAAGTAGTGACAATGACAAATAATTTACTCAGTAAGGTCACTCCTATAGAATTCTATGGTCACGCCCACTAAGGCCAACTTTGAATGGTTGATATCCCAGGCTTATATGTGCTGTGTGTGCAATAGCCTGGGGACAATGTTACACCAAAAAGCACTTACTTTAATGAAAGAAATTGAAATTGTCTTTCTTCTGGAACCAAGTTACATGTTCCTCAGTACACAAACATTCACACAACAAAAACAAAGCCATACCGCACGGTGCTGGGCCCAGTCAGGTCTTTGACACACTCACCCACTCCTCCGCTGAAAGATCAGCCACAAAATGTTGGCACCATTGTAACAGGTTGTAATCAAGCCCTGGTCTCCAGCATGAGAACAGAAGAGGAATACCTGGTGTGACAGTCTCAGGTTGGACTTCTCCAAATCATCTTGGTTCTGACACACACACACAAACGCAAGCTTTGCAGGTCTATCAACCCATTTAAATATCTCTCATACCCTACAGTAACCTGTGGATCATGAGAGAACCTTCATAAATCAGCAGAACGTTAATAACCTATTTGAGACACCTTCGGTCATTCATAACAGGTATATTTTCTGGGTGATTTAAATATTGACTGGCTTTCATCAAGCTGCCCACTCAAGAAAAAGCTTAAAACTGTAACCAGTGCCTGCAACCTGGTTCACGTTATCAGTCAACCTACCAGGGTAGTTACAAACAGCACAGGAATGAAATCATCAACATGTATTGATCACATCTTTACTAATGCTGCAGAAATGTGCTTGAAAGCAGTATCCAGATCCATCGGATGTAGTGATCACAATATAGTAGCCATATCCAGGAAAACCAACGTTCCAAAGGCTGGGCCTAA